CTGGGCTTACCACTGGACGTTGACGAACCTGGTAAAGCGGCTTAAATTGTTTGCCTGTCGCTTGGCTGCACGAGCGGGTTGCACTAAAGCCCCGCCCCTCACCTGCGCTTGCCCTTTCCTTGTTGTTGTGGTTGATTTAATATTTAGCACGCCTGGACACAGACCTCTGGGTCTAGTGAGGGGGGGGGGGCGTGCTTGACCATGGGTGCGCCTGTGGGCTGAGGTCGACGGGGGGCTGATGCCTTAGTAAAAATTTAATGCGCTTTTGATGATGGCCATAAAATGGCCAAACAAAATGCATGTGGGCGGCACAGAGAGAGGGTGGCGTGCCCGGGGGCGTGGTCCTGGCATTGCATGTGGAATCTCTGCACTAGATAAAATATTAATTTATTTTTGTATGTTTTTTTTGTATATTTTGCCTGCTTCTGCTCTGCTTCTTCTGCTGCTGCTGCTGCGGCCACACTCCCTCGTCGTATCCTTGCGGCTATTGCAACGCAGTTGTAGTGCCTCATAAAATTGTACGTATTTATCCTGCGCGCCACAGAGAGCACTTAATTTTAAATAACAGTTTCGTGTTTGCCACAGCTCTACCCCTCTCTCTCTCTCTCTCTCTCACACACTATCTAGCTGTCTCTTTCTTTCGATTCGTTCGTACTGTGTGTTATTAATATTTTCATTTTAATTTTCACGCGTTTTATTTGCGCTTTCGCTTATATTTTTCCGCGTTTTTCTTATTTTTTTGTTCTTTTATTTCAACGCCTTTTGATTTGCTCATGTTCTGTTTATTAATTTCAGCGTGTGGCTCGTGCTTAACTTTTTCTTTTATTTTATTTTTTGTATTCGCCAGCAGCTTTGACAGTGGGTCACAGAAGTTTTCGGCCCCCTTAACTACTGCGGAACATTTGCAATTGAGTGTGTTTATATTTTGTTTAGCCCCGTTTTATGGAAATTGAAAATTTTTTTCATTCGCTTTTGTGTGTTTGCCTATTTTCTATGAATTTTTGTTTTGATATTGCGTTTAATTTATGGGCAGCTACTGGCGAGAGATTGGGAATAAATAATCACTCCGTAAATAAAAAAATGCAGAAATGATTTAAGTGTTCAACAAAATGAATACACTTCCATAAACTTCAGCGCTTCTCTCAGGAATTGGCTTTCACAATATCCGATTTTGGAGATTTATTTGCCATAATCTTACAAACTATTCTACAAAACTTAGCGATTGCTTTTAACGGCTATAATTTATTAAAAAGCTTGAGCAACTATGAATTCAGTATAATTTAAATATTTTTCGGCAATAATAATATTTTGGGCATACGTTTGTTCGGCTAAATATCTCATCAGTTTGATCAAACTAAATTGATTTCTTTCTTTAATGCTTTCAATGCTCTCCTCTATTTAATTTTCTCAAAAAATTATACCTTACTTATCCTGAAAAATATTGTTATATTTGTTTAGTAGCTTTGATTTTGCCTGGTATATTTTTATCGCAACTGTTTAGTTATTTGAAAGTCAGACCACATTATGCCTTAGGTTTTTCGCAGCTTGTCGCTATTTTATGAGCCACATTTTCATTTAGTCGCACACACACACGCCCACATAGACACACACCCTCACACTTTGCGAGCATATTAAAGTGTGTGTTCTATTACTTAATTATTAATAATGCCCGCTCATCGCTTTGCACACACTCAGGCAGACACACACAGATAGACACACACAGATAGACACACACAGATAGACACACACAGATAGACATACACAGATAAACACACACAGAGACTCACACACACTGAGCTAACACTTGCCAGCTGGTGATGTCCACAGCTTGTTTCATTGGAAGAAAAACAAGTTTTTCGCTCTCTAACAGCCCCCAGTCCTTACCACAGAACTTTTCTAATTAGTTTTTGTGCACAGTGCGCTTTATAGTTATGCATTTCACTTCTTGGCGTTGTTGGAAGTGGTTGCACGTAGCTGCTGCTGCTGCTGCTGCTGGGGCAGCAGTAGCCAGTGGCAAGTTGCACAATTTTTCCCTGCATTTATTGCAATTTGCGTGGAGCAGACGCCAAGTTAGCAAGTCTAGACCTGCCGCTGGGCAGCTGGACATGTGGGTGGCCTCCCGGATGATGCTCGAAAATGTGCGCAATTATTGTAAATGTCGCAATCATTGAGCAACTGAGAAAAGTGCTAAAGTAGCAAAAGAATTAAATGAGTCTTGTTAATGAGCGAGCAGCGAATTGAAAGACTGACTGAATGAATGAATGGATGCTGGCGCGTGCCTTTGGCTAAAAGTATTTCTCGGAGCGACCTTTTGCCGTAGTTAATGGATTGTCCTCCGCCTGATTATCCCATCAGTATGGCCAATGTCAGTTCTGTAACTTAAGCGTATTTACTGCTCAACCATTGTTTCTTGGTAATTGGAGAGGATTAAGCATGACTGAAGTGCTCTCTCTCTCTCTGTGTGTGTGTGTGTGTGTGATTGTGTGTGTGTGTGCCAAGCAACGCTAATTAATGCATAAGCAAATGCCGTTGGCATGGCAAACGCTCCAAAACAATTGGAATGTCTGTGGAATGCCAACAAGTTAACTGGCAAGTGGCCAGGAGCTCTTAAAGCCAAGCTTTAATACATATCTTGAGGCTGGGCTGAAAGTTCTGTTAACTAGCTGACTATATAATATTAAGAATTCTTTTAATTCTGCTAATTTTAATTGATTTTTGCTGAGAGCTAAAAAAATTTTGAGCTGCTTATTATTAATAATTCAGTGATAAGTCTATGCCGAACTGTGTTATTTTAAAATAAATTTCATCCCACTTTTCAAGCAACAAATTGAGTACGTACACACGACGAATTCCCACCCGTAGACCCACCCAAGGCTGCTTTTAATCTTCACTTTGTGCTAAGCCCACATAAAACCAAAAACAAGCAACAAAAAATATTTCTATAGGCTGCGCTGTGCCTTTATAAGCCACTTAATCAAGCTTCCAATCGCAACGCCCAACCATTCTTTGGCTGTCAATTACTGCCAGAGCCATGCCAACCGCCCCTATCCCCATAACTCCCCGGGCCGCCAACTCCCCGGGCTGCTTATTGGAAAATCTGTGCAAACATTTTCAACAAGAGCGCAAAATTTGTTGCGCCAACTTATCGATGAATTTCATGAATAACAAAATATATATTTAGCTACAGCTCTCAACAAGATTTATGCGCCCAGCACTTGGCCAAAAGACAATCATCGACCCACCCCGCCCCCTTGAAGGAAACTTGTACAAATTGAACGTTTAACCCATTACAGACCAAAATCCTCTTGAATATTTTGGCCTCTTAAATGAAATAAATAGAAAAGCAACGAATTGAGACGAAGACGAAAATTTCGCAGCTTAAATTTAACATAAATTACCATGGCAAGAACGACTCATTATAATTTGCCATAAATTCACATAAACTCACCCTCCGTCCCCCTTCTATATACATAAAATTATATATATGTCTATGTACATATAGAATGATGTATTTTGTTGTTAAGCCTTAAGACACGTTGCTGCCTGGCGGGCTGCTGGAAAACTCATTAACGTAATTTTCGAAAATTTATAAATGTTAATTGGAAAATGTACTTTTAGGCTCTTGCCTGAAATTCTCGCACTTGGCCCTAGACAATAACTGCTTATTAAATTATGCTAATGAGTTTTGCTGCGCCAACTGTCAGCGAAATGCCGAGAACAATTTTCGGGCGGCCCAAAACTGTAAACTGTAAACCAGCCAAACGAATAATTCCAATTATCATCATCAGCAAAAGAAAAGCACGCAAAAAGCAGTTAACTACAGATGGCTGAGGTTCAAATACGCTGCATATTTTTCCTTTATTCTTATTTTTTATTTGAACAGCAAATATATAAATATTAATTTAGCTGCACAGGGGTTTGGGAAATTCCACCCGCAAGTGGGGAAACTTTTATGCTTACCATCCGATGGGCCTTTTACTTATTTTCAAAGATCTTTGTTCAAAAATATATATCGAAGAATTGGTGCAAGCAAATAAATATCCGAGATGCTATTCTTTTGGGACGTGTTTCACACCTTTTGCAGAATTCGGTCTTTCACGGTGGAAAATGCGGCTAAAATATTTTTTGAGTACATTTAAGTTTCGTCCGATCGACCTGAAACTTATTTCCAAAGCCCTACATACAAATTATATGAAAACGTCTTCAGCGATTTTGGCAATTCCACCCGCAACTGTGGAAATCTGGCGAAAGACTTGCAATTTTTTGTTTCTAGGTTTTAAACACATTTTCAAAGATCTTTGTGAGAATTTATTTGATAGGTTTTCGTAAAGCTTGCCGATCTTGGATGAAAAATACGGAAATCGTCGATTCTGACATTTGCTTATATATTCGATCCACATTAAACATTAAACACATAAAAAGAAGCGAAAATTAAGATGGTACGGGTAGATTTAAATTTTGCACAGGCGTATACTTGGTAGAAAATGTATTCCACGGGCAAGACAGGGAAATATAAACATATATACACTAATGGATAGTATAAACTTTATTGATTCAAACATGTAGCTGCCTTGCGCTTGATCCATTGCTAGGGTATAAAGTCAGACTGCAAATTGGTTAGGCCGGAATGTCAGTCACTGCATTGTGTGTGTGTATGATATGTGTGTTTGTGGTGTATCTGAGCGTGTGTGTGTTGGTGACTGCATTCATAGCCATTTTCGGGTTTTTGTTTTTGTTTTCTGTGTGCTGCTGTTGTGTGCACTGCTCGTTTATTAATTAGTCAGGACAATGCGGGAGTGGGAAAGCAAAAACGGTTGATGCCAGCTTTTTGGTGGCTGTTTTTGTGGATATTTTTGGTTGAGTTGTATATGGCCTGCGTATGACAGTTGGGTCTGCAGAATGTCGCTTAATTTGCAGCCAGCGCGCAGAGGCTTTCAATTTGTTGTTAACTCATGGCTTCAATCTCTGATTTTATTCTCTTTTTTTTGTGCTTTCTGCAGGATGTCTTGCATAAAATTTGCAATCCACATGGACAAGTGCTGCGCATCGTCATCTTCAAAAAGAACGGCGTACAGGCTATGGTTGAATTTGATAGCCTCGATGCGGCCACACGTGCACGCGAGAATCTCAATGGTGCCGACATCTATGCTGGATGCTGCACTTTAAAAATTGATTTTGCCAAGGTAAGTGAGCCCGAAAAATCAGTGCGAAAGCTATATCTGTTTATATAAAAAATACATATATATATATATATATACATATATTCTAGCCGGAGAAATTGAATGTTTATAAGAATGAGACAGACACCAGCTGGGATTATACCCTGAGCACAGGTGAGATTCAACCAAGTGCGTTCACATTTTTTACTACTATTTCTTATTAGTCTATAAGTGTACCTATGCACCCTACATAGTATACTATACAACTATATCTCTCTATCATGAGTACACTGAACAACATTTGCATTTGCCCCATAATAAACACTGTTTACACACACTCTCTCAACCGCACACTCACACACACATACACTTGCTTTTTATTGCCCACATGTGGAGAGAGTTGCGAAAATATATATGCATATATAATTATATATATATATAAACTCTATTTTGCCAATTAGTTGGCTTTATATTAGTTTTTTTTTTAGTTTCCGTACAACTTTTAGGCAGCATACAAGTTTTGTAAACTTTTTCAATTGCCACACCCACACAGGCACACACACACACACACGAACATATATTAATTTAGATTAAAATTTATTTAGCGATTAAACTTTGACACTCAGTTTAATGTGTGTGTACGCGTGTATTGCAGGTGTCAAAATAACTAAATAACATATATAAACATCATGTACGACAAGGCGTATGCGTAATTTTATTGAGATTTACAGAAACAATTGAATATTTAAGATATCAGGCTTTATAGATTTATTTTTGATTTTATTATAATTTTCAACATATTTATAATTATATTTTTATTTTGATTTTACACTAAATTATTAAAAAAATTTAAATTTTTATTTTTTAATTCAACACAACATTAAAAAATTGTACATATCTTAAAATATTCAAAAAACACTCATTTTAATATTTATAATTTGTCTTTTTATTATGTTTATTTATTATTATTATTTTTTAGTTGTTACCTTCTTTCAATTTTTTAATTATATAGCCAAGAATTTCGAGGGATATACATTTTAAATATTTTCTCACATATATTTATATATATACATATATATACAATTATGCGTAGCTAACGCTGCGCATACGTAATTTCTGGTTAAGTACTGTGCCGCCACCTGGCGTATGATTAATATTTTACTTAGACTTTTCGCACAATGCCCAAGTTCTAGCAAAATAAAATGCGCAGCACGCTCTACATTGCGTATACGTATTATTTATTTAAAGAAAATTTCTTTCTACTTTATCAACGCTTACCTGCAACCTTTTGGGCTCACCTGTCGTATGCCTAATATTTCAAAGCAAGCAGTTCGTAGAAAGTTTGATCCTCGTCAAGGCTGCTTTGACGTATGCGCAATATTAAAGAAAATTGTAGTTTATATACATTGTCTTAGGACACCCGCAGGTCTAAGGTCTGCCTTGAAGCTGTGTTACCTGGCGGATGTGTTATATTTTATGTGTATACATTTTTAGGCTACAGTACTTTGAATTCCGAGCAGTTTTTTGCTTGCTCCTTTTTAGCAATTATTATTTGCCATTCTTTAAATTTTTTCTGCATAAGCTAAATGTCGCATGCTTGATATCTGTTGGTTTTTTTAGCGTCTGCCCGGCTTGAAGCCTTTTTTCCCGGCTTAAAGCTTGTCGCAGGGGTCGTATACATAATAACCCGTTTGATGGCTTATGCCAGCGCCGTGTGGCAGCTCTAATTGCCACAGTCAAAGCTGTCAAGCTCAAAACGCATAACTGACACAAGCGACGAACAACAACAAGCAGCAGCAACAACATCAAACATTTATGATGCTCAAGCGCGCGGCGTCAAAGTTAGCAAAGCAGAAGCCAACGCCCACGCCAGACCACCCCAACCCACCGCCACCCATATTGGCCACATCAAATGAAAGCTGCAACACCTGCTGCACACCCCCAATTCCTCTTAGCAGCCAACCCCCTGCGCCCAGCTAGCCAGGCACATGTCTCGCTTTATGACAGTCGACAAAGTTGCGCGCGCGTTAAATGCCATTTTTAATTTTTATATTTCACTTTGAATAAAAATAAAATTAAACGTTGTGCGCGTCGGTTCGTTGTTGTCAGTTTGGCGTAGTTGTTGCTGTTGTTGTTGTTGTTTCTTTTGCTGTCGCAGACAGCGCGGCGGCAACGTTGTCGTGCAATTTGCCCCGGCCAGCCAGCCAGCCAGCTGGGTCGTCAGACAACGGACGCAGCAACTTCAAAAGGCCGACAAACTGCAGAAAATCTGCCAGCTGTGCGACATGCAAACCCGCTGCACACACCCGCTTGCCTCTTTTCCTATGACGGCAATGTTGCAAGTGTCAACGACAACAACAACAAGAACAAACGGCTGGAGTGGCCAAAGCCACAATAACTCAGACGGCAGCCAAATTGCCCACTGTCATATTCTGTTGTTGTTGTTGTTGCTGTAGCTGGACAAACTTTTGACTGTGGGCTGTCCCTTGGATTTATCTGTTTGTTGTTGTTGTTCTTGTTCTTGTTGTTTGCACTGCATTTGCATGCCGAGACGTCAGGTGGGCGGTGCGAGGCTGCGGTGTCTGTTGCATGGCGTTGGCGTCGCTTGCAGCACTCAGCTCTTTTTCTGCCACAATCTCTGTCTCTCTTTCTCTCAGTCTGTTTTTGCCACAAACATATGAAGCTGCAACCAAGTCCAGCAGCAGTTTGCCCCAGCAAAAGTTGCCATCAATGAATGCCAAAATGAATGAACTTGGCGGCACAGCCAGCCAGCCAGTTGGCTAGCCAGCCAGGCAGTCAGTAGTTGCAGCATCTGTTGGCATTCGCTGCCGTTTGCCACATTATGTGGGCGTGTAAATTAGGACCGGACACATAGAGACCATCTCTTTGGCTGTCGTATAATGAACATGCCACACTGAAATGTGGCCATAGGCGGCGCCACATTTCTGTTTGCTTGTTTTTTTTGTTCTCGACTGTGCTGCAGCTTGTGTCTGTGGCCACTGGTTGTTTGATGTGTTTTTTCGACTTGGTTAGTTGACATAGCATTTTAGTGGAGTGTTCCAACTATAATGCGTAATGAGACCTGCTTTAAATAATTGCTAGCTATCACTGCAATTAAATATATACTAGCTGTTATTTCGCCGCTCAAGTTTTTTTGGTATCAATTTCCCGCTATTGAGAAATTGAAATTTCCGGTTACTATCCTCAACTTCACATCCCACGAATATATTTTACGTCGACATTTGAAACTGAGTTTGAAGTGCATCTAATTCAGAATCAAAAGTTGAAACCAACGTTTTCTTAAATTAATTTTCTTAAGGATTTTTGAAAATTAGTTGGAAGGTAATCAGAAAAGTTATATAGAATCGTTTTCCGAAATTTTGGTTGGGGGTGAAATTCCCGAAATCACTGAAACACGTATTCGAAATTTTAATATACACATTTTTTCTAAGCTTCCACAAACATTTTTTAAAATCATAATCATTTTCCACAGAGCTTACTTGGAATTTCCATCTAAATTGCTAGCATTTAAAGTTCTGCGAAATTACCAAGATTACCAAGAATTTCCTGCAAGTAAAATATTTATGAATATGCTGGTCTGTTAGATTTTACCGTAATTGATTTCTAAGAATTCTCTGAAAGTTAATCTCGTGTATTTGGAAGAAAAACTTTGCTTTGTTTGGATAAATTATGCAACCAACTTAAGACAGACCATTGCCTTTGCCCATTCACTTGCTAATCGAATGCAAATCAATATGCTAACTAGCCACTTTTACCATAAGTAAATGTTCAAAGAGCTTTTACCATTCGCTTGCAGCTCAACTTCCTTAAACAAAACCCAGCCCCCTCCCCGTGGCAAGTTATGCTGACCTTCGACCTTATACGACAGCCATTATAAACTGGTCTGCACTCTGGGTCTGGCCAATCAATAGAATTCATTTAAAATGCTGCTGCTGTTGCTGACAGGCCACGCCCACTACTGACGCGGAGCCATAAATTTTGCATGACTAACAACAATAACAATAATAACAATAACAACAACAACAAAAATGACAATTAAAAGGAAAAGACAAAACAGAAGCGATAAAAAGTTAAATATCAAGTGAAAAATGCAAACAACATTTGCATAAGCTATAGCGATGGGAGGTGAGCAGAGGGGAAGAGTATTCACAATCGACAAAAAAGAAAACTGTCCTTCTAGCAAACAGTGAAGACTTGCCTTGAAATGGCAGCCAAGCCAAAAGTAGTTCTTAAACAAGTTAACTGCAACTAGTCCAAAAACTAAACCAAAAAACCAACAGTCCAAGAACGAAAAACACAGTTTACTGCGAAGTTTGGAATTCGAACCCCCTTCTAAGAAGAAACCAAGCTATGAGCTATAAAAAATAACGAACTTTACCGCGAAGATTGCGGTTCAAACCCCCGTTCTAGAAAAGAAAACACTTTCATCGAAAAATAAATGAACTTAGCATGAAGTTTGGGGTTCGAACCCCTGAGTAGACGGCAGCCATCATAAAATCAAGTATTATAAGAAACTAAAAACTAAACTAACCTAAACTAAACGTTAAGTAAATTTGTGTAGTATTTGCATTTGCCAAGCGTCAGGGTCGACGCTGGCGGCTAACCAACCTGGCCAGACAGACAGACAGCTGTATATTTACATTGGGGCTGGCTTTTCAGGGTAGCTGTTAGGACAGGTTGCCTGCATATTTACGAGTGGCTTGTGTGCAGCCCCCGAGTCAGTCACTTCACGTGCAATGTTTTATCTATGCGCGGTTGGCGTTTTTGTTAATTTTCCACTCATTTTCCATGGCATCCTAGTTGCGGTTTCGCCCAACCAACCAACCAGCCAACCCCTCGGCCATTGCTCTGCTTCCGTTTCCGTTATCCTGTTTAGTTTAAGTGTGGAGGGGTAGGGACGGGCGGCTATTCAGATGGATTCTTATGCTCATCGCATTTGGCTCTTGTTTCGTGCTGTCACGCGATGTGTTTCCACGTTTTGCTTCTTTGTGTGCAACTTGCTCGTCGTCGTGTTTTCTCTCTTTATTTGACTGCAAATTGTTTTTTTTTTCTTTCTTGTATTCGTTGAGTTGCTTGAGTTCCGTTTTTAGTTTTCCTGACCCAAGGACGTTCGATTTTTAGTTTAACTTGACAAACCTACAAATACGTGCTGCTAGCTTACGTCTACG